TATCGTACTGATATGCGTTGGAGCGTGGACAGCGCGTTGAAATGTCCCGATAGGGGATCAGTGTGCATACTAAATAAAACATGCCTAATTTCCGAAGGTAGCAGCACTCTTAATAGACGATGGGGGGTTGACAATGGCGTTTGTATAAGGTGTTATTAATGACGACGAAATGTCGGGTTTGTTGCTTCAATTGGTTTTGTTGTTGGGGTGACAAATTATACTTATAATTGGGGTAACTAAGGTATTCTAAATAGGTTTGGTATTGCTGGGGATCCATAGTGGAATATAAAATAACGGAGGTGCTTAATAGAGTTAAAAAAATAAAAAAATAGCTTGTAATTAAATTCAAAAACGCGGTGAGTCAAAATCGGAGAGGTTTTCGTGATTGGATTGTGGATTTTTGGACGTAGGGGTGGAAACATTCTCGGGCGGAGTGACCCATTTGACAACAATTATAACAGATTCTATGGTCAAAATTGTTAATGTGGAAACAAGAGAATTGACGAGCTGGGAAAAACTATCGGCATTCGAATGGTATCGACCAGGTCAATGCGTAACCGAAAAGTCATACTCTTGTAAAGCCAAAATCCAGCGAGCAAGACGACCTTTAGGCAATCGGTGTTGTAATAACGACTTGAGGGCCGAATGATCTGTGATGATGGTAAATCGGGACCCATGCAGGTACTGTCGGAAATAGGAGATTGACCAAACAACAGCCAAACATTCTTGTTCGGTTACAGAATAATTTTTTTCGGCCGGAGTCATAGTTCGACTGGCATAATGAATTACTCGTTCCCTTCTTTGGGAGTCTCTTTGTGCGAGAATTGCTCCCAGAGCAATACCAGAAGCATCAGTGAATAGAAGAAATTCATTGGAAAAGTTGGGGTAGGCTAAAATAGGGGCCGTTGTCAATTTGTCTTTAAGAACTTGAAACGAGTTATGTTGGTCATGGGTCCACATAAATTTAGCGTTTTTCTTCAACAACGAATTGAGGGGAGCGGAAAGGTTGGAGAAATCCTGAATAAATCGTCAATAATAGGATGCCAGTCCAAGGAAACCACGGAGTTGATGAAGATTATTAGAAATGGGAAAGTTTTTAATGACCTCCACTTTTTTCGGGTCTGTGGAAATGTCATCCTCATTGATAATGTAACCAAGGAATTTAAGCTCAACCTTGGCGAAATGGCATTTTTTTGGATTCAACTTGAGCTCTGCCTTTTGGAGACGATCAAACACCTCGGCGAGATGCTAGACATGTTCATCGAATGTGGACGAATAAACATTAATATCGTCCAAATAAACAACCACGAATTTACCAATGACCTCTTGGAAGATTTGGTTCATGAGTCTTTGAAAAGTCGCAGGAGCGTTGATAAGACTGAAAGGCATTACGTTGAACTCGAAAGTTCCAAATTGAGATATAAAAGCGGTCTTTTCCTTATCAATTGGATTCATCTCAATCTGCCAGTATCCGCTAGCGAGATCGAGAGACGTATACCAAGCAGAGTGTCGAAGATTATCTAATAAATCGTCGATTTGGGGTAAGGGTAACTATCCTTCTTGGTGACAGTGTTGAGTCGACGATAGTCGACACAAAACCGAGTCTTGCTGTGTTGTTTGACGAGAACGATAGGGGAAGCCCAGGGGCTATAAGAGGGTCAAATAATATCAGCCCGTATCATTTGATTAATTTCTTCTTTCAAAAACTCCCGCTTCATGGGGGACGTACGGTAGTATCGTTGCTTGATGGGAAGGGCTCCTTCGGTATGTATAGAATGGGTGACGAAGTCAGTTCGACCCAATTCCTGAGGAGTCCATGCAAAAAGATCATCGTATCCCACAAGCAACTCCTCCAATTTATCATGATCGTCATCCCACAAGTCTCCTATATCCAACTCCCGGGATGATTCTTCTACTTCCTCGAAGAAGAATTTGGGGTCAGAATCTTCGTCATTATCATCAAAGTCAGAAAAGTTATCCTCTGGTAGATAATCCTCATCACCATCCATATTCCACCACGCCTCACCCGCTCCTCGACCTTCGGGCGAATGTTATGCTGAGATAACACCAAATCCGTTATCTGTATCATCACAATCTTCATCCCTAATCCCACCATTACTTCGTTGATACTGGAAGACCGTATGTTCGTCCTCAAAAAAACCAAAGAGTCGGTCATCCAACTCCTCTTCTTCATACTCAGTCTCAGTTTTTTCCCCACTTTCAGACTCTTCAGAACTATCCTCAACTGGTTGGGCCTTAGTAATTTTAGGAAGGCGATCATCTTGAATGGGGGTGTGGTGAAGCTTCCGAAACTCCACTGGAACGATGATTTTTTATCCTCCCACTGAAATGTCATCTCGGAGGCATTATAATCAATATTGGCATTGACCTTGGAAAGCCAATCATTCCCTACTATGGCCTGATATGATAAGGCATCTGTGACCACTACATCAATAGGAACTACAACGCCTCCGACGGAAAAGGGGAACTCTGAAATTTCGCCGATAGCTTTTTTACTCTGGCCATAAACGTTGACCATGTTGACAGTGGACGGTCGTTCCACCTTAATACCCAATTCACTAAGGAGATGTGAAGCAACCACACTCCCGGAGGAACCACTGTCAACGATGAGTGGAATTACTTTCTCATGGACAACGGCATCACAATATAGATTGGTCGACTTAGGGGTTGGTTGGAGGTTAACAAAGGTTCGGGCCTTCTTTTTAAGGACCTTGGACTTGCGAAGGCTCTTGGATAGTTCTACTTGCATAGACGGAACCTCCTGCAATAATTGGCTGATTGTAATATTAGCTGGTTTATCACGAATGTCGGCTATAATAGAATATCGAGGGATTAAAGCAGAAATTTGAGGGGGTTCTTCTCCAATCCTCTTCCTTCTCACAAGAGCGCCTTTCTGGGAGGTCTTAACTTTGGGCTTATCAGAGAACTTTTGGCCGGTCCTTTCATCGGCAACAGGTACCTCCCGCTCT